ATATATATATATATATATATATATAGATATATATATATATATATATATATATATATATATATATATATATATATATATATATATATATATATATATATATATATATATATATATATATATATATATATATATATATATATATATATATATATATATATATATATATATATATATATATATATATATATATATATATATATATATATATATATATATATATATATATATATATATATATATATATATATATATATATATATATATATATATATATATATATATATATATATATATATATATATATATATATATATATATATATATATATATATATATATATATATATATATATATATATATATATATATATATATATATATCTATATATATATATATATATATATATATATATATATATATATATATATATATATATATATATATATATATATATATATATATATATATATATATAATCTGTTTCGTCTTTTAAAATTCTGCTTTAGTGTTTTATTGAACGTCAAAGGTTGAATTTGTGAATATAAAACCTACAATATTCATGTAATAGGGTAGGGTTAGGTCTGGTGTTGTTTTGATAAACGATTTGTAATAATCCATGTTTGCATATTTGTAGATCCGTCCGCTGTGCGCAACCCAGTGTTTTATTATTCTACCCCTGCCGTTTTGTGTCCAAAAATAGCGAGTAACAGCAGATTTCAGCTTATTTATTCTCCCCATGCAGAAAAGGAGCGCTCTGTGGAGCAGAGGAGCGACGACGGGAACGCAGATGACCCGAAGAAGAAGAAGCAGCGGCGGCAGAGGACTCACTTCACCAGCCAGCAGCTGCAGGAGCTGGAGGCCACCTTCCAGAGGAACCGCTACCCGGACATGAGCACCAGAGAGGAGATCGCGGTGTGGACTAACCTCACCGAGGCCCGGGTCAGGGTAAGACTATTCTGCAAATATACCCACTCTACATGATCATATCAAACATATACACCAAATATAATGCCTAACAGGAGGAGCTCTGCAGAGTACACGCAAAAGGCAAACCTGCGAAGGTGCTGTCTCACCCAGAATATATGGCTCAATCCATGGCCATCCAGTCAATAAAAGAACAGCAAATTAATTATCACTGAAAAAATTATTCAAAGATGATTTCTTGGATTTACTCAATTGTTTTACGTTAAGTGGTTGTAAACTATTTGGGCTGAATTTAAACAAACAAATTCAGTTGAACATTATTAAACTTAATTTGTTTAAGTTCAGCACAAATAAACTGTTTGCAATAGTTCTGCATGCAACACTTTTATCTGCAATATAATTACACATAAAAATAAAATAACACAAAAATATGACAAGCAAACTAATTTAAGTACGGTCTTATATCCTATAAAATTGTTATTTTTTACTTGTTCTGCGGCATGAAATTAAAAATATGTCATTTTTGTCTACATATAGCCAAGTATACATCAAAAAAATGTTCACTATGGAAAGAATTTAAATTTAGTCCACGAAATAAAATAAAAAGATATTTTGTTAATGATATAGAGAATTGTTTCTTAGCAAGCTGATCTTTAAAATAAATGGCTGCATTTGTGTTTTCACGACCGGCTTCTGCCTTTATTTTTAATAGTAAAGAGATTCAGACTGAAATATTCAAAACTGTGACTATTGGTTAAACTAGTCGACGGTAAATACATTAGCCACACGTCACGACTTTATGACAAACCATTTATTTTTAAAATACCAGAATAGTAATAATAATTACAACCTATTTCAGTATTATGCCATTATTAGGTAGAATAATAATGAACTGAGTTTCTACATATTTAGCATGCTGATGTCATGAGTCTTAAATATTTAGCAAGCTACACCTTCACAATAAGCACTGGCTTCAGAACAACACCAGCACTATCCAATAGACTGTGAGCAGTGTTTTACTCGGATAGTCACTGCATGGTTGATTATATGAGTTCTCTATTTAAAATTTGCGAACAATATATTTCTGAAATATTATTAGGGAGAACGTCTGAATGTGCGAATATAAACCAACTTTACTCCAAAGCCTTTGCTAAATGATTAACAGCTTTGGCTGAATCTGTTGTTGTCTCTAATGCTGCTAATCACACTGCGCCCGTTTCTCAGGTTTGGTTCAAGAACCGGAGGGCGAAGTGGAGGAAGAGGGAGCGCAACCAGCAGATGGATCTGTGTAAGAACAGTTACCTGCCCCAGTTTAGCGGATTAATGCAGCCGTACGACGACGTCTATCCCACCTACACCTACAACAACTGGACCAACAAAGGCCTGACCCCAGCCCCGCTGTCCACCAAGAACTTTACCTTCTTTAACTCCATGAGTCCCCTCACGTCCCAGTCCATGTTCTCGGCCCCGAGCTCCATCTCCTCCATGAGTATGGCGTCCGGGATGGGCCATTCCGCGGTGCCCGGTATGCCGACCACCGGCCTCAATAACATCGGCAATCTGAACGGGATCGGCGGCTCCACCATCAACCCGGCCATGAGTTCGTCCACGTGTCCGTACGGGCCTCCGGGATCTCCGTACAGCGTGTACCGGGACACCTGCAACTCCAGCCTAGCCACGCTACGGCTGAAATCTAAACAGCATCCGTCTTTTGGATATAGCGGGCTGCAGAGTCCCGGCTCTAGCCTTAACGCGTGCCAGTATAACAGTTGACGAAATAAAAACTCCGACAAACTCACACCTGGAGCAGAGACGAGCATACTGGAGTAGATGCGATCGGCACATTGCAGTGGAATATGTGGATTGTCTGTGTTTACCCAAACTTGCACAAATCCATTATATGGATTTCAACGTTTTGAAGACAAGTTAAACTCATTGTGTACATAAATATATATATAAATATAAACGTGGAACAAAAGTTGATGATGCTGTGCTGCAAGTGGGAACAGCGGTGTGTGAAAAACACAACCGTATAAATAATCAAGAGCGCGTCCTGCTAATGCAGTGCAGGCCTCAGTGGGGCTGGGTGGCGGTGGCTTTATACCCGCACATTCGTTTCGCCTTTCCATATATGATTATAGGAAAGTGTTTGCCAATTCTAAATAGGGAAATCATATTATCAGCTAATGACTACCAAAGCACAGCGTTGTTGAGAGTAAAATAAGCAGTGCTAATGTTGTTTCCAAGTCATTCTTACATGCGATTTCAGACCAAATATTTATAAAGTAGTGTGGTAGCAAAGTGTGCTCATAGCAGTACGTCATTATAAATAATCTGCATTAGCCTTTTTAGGTTCTGCTTTAGTTTTTTATTGAACGCCAAAAGTCAGATGGTGTGAATTTAAAACCAACTTTACCTCAATTTTAAACATTCGGCCCGAAGTTGCATGTAAGAGTGTCTTCCACACAACATTAGCACCGATTAAATGACTATTGTAGGTTGATTGAATTTCCATATTTATAATTAGCACAGAACACTTTTCTGAGATGAAGTGAATGTGCGACTTCGCCCCAGTCTCCAGGCCGTCAGTGGTGTTTGTGAGTGTTGTTCTCCTGTATTAATGTCCCGCAGAGGGTCGGCCGTTCTCGTGGCCTCTCGTCGACACTCGGGTTTTCCTCGTATTGTTTTGATTGTGTCGATAGATTTACCGCATGCCTACGCCGAGTGAAAAAAATGTTTTGTAAAATTATATGAATGTGTAGACTAAATAACAAAGCTATAATGTTATGTTGTATTCATGTTGAATGGTTCTGTGTTCATGTTTAATGTTTGAATAAATCTCAAAAGGACGGATTTCTAAAATACTTTGTCGAAAGCAGTGGCCGCAGATCAGTCTGCAGGGCTGACGGTGCACTCAGCCTAACTTTAAATCTCACACATTTAATGCAATACTACACGACTATCTTTATAATTAGCTAGCCTACTGAGCCGGGTTTAAAGATTCAGTGCGTCCCGAATATTAATCTCGAGACTATCTTTCTGTCTATTTTTCATTTACACGACTATTTTAAACTGCATTATCTCTTGACAAAATGCAGTATATTCCAGTAGGCTAGCTGTGATGTTTCCATCTTCCATCGGCCTCGTTTGACTCCCCCACGAAGCAAATACCTGATCTATAAATTATTTCCGAAGTTTAGTCCAACTCTATAGGAGAGAAAGGCAAACTTGAACCAACTCCTTATCACGGTTTGCCACATTAAGAGACTGTTTTTTATCGGGATGTGTGTATTTAGGTGCATTTAGATGATAGGGAGGAGAGGGTCTGTCGTAACTGATGTTTTCCTTAATACTTCTGATCCTTTTGCACTGATAATAACGCCTTTAATTCCCCGAAAGGTCGCCGTGTTAATGGTCACTTCCTCTGTTAGCAGAATGAGTTCACTGCACAATGTTGACACGACTGTTCAAGGACGCGTTAAACCCGATCCCCAATTCAAACAAACGCAGTCCTGTCTGGAGGAAAGTGAACATCGCATTCCGGGCTGAGAAGCGTCAGATATACTTCTCGAGGAGGATCTGGAGAACAGAAACGCGGAGAATTACGCGGAGTCTGCAAAAGACGAGCTCATACTGACGCGCGCGGGGATCACTTCAGAAAATAAAAGGTAGCCTACTCCTTATACATGAGAGTATCCTCGCTAGCACAATTATGACAATTCCTAAAAGTAATATATAGCAGACAATACTCTAAAAATGAGGTTATTCCAGCCTAATTTGGGGTTTAAAATGGATAAAACCAACCACTGGGCTAATTATCTAAATTAAATGTATAGGACCCAATTTAATCCAAATCTAAAGATTGTACATATTTTACCCAATTTGGTTTAAAATAATTCAGATTTTTAGAGTGTAGCGTTAAATGGTTAGCATATAGAAAAAACACCGTGATTTATTAATTTATTTTAACGAAGCAATATCTAGGTAATCGCATTTCATTGATGGATCTTGAAATTAGATCGGATTAATTCACTTTAATTTGCTGAATTTAATTAGGCTTTTTTGTTGGATAAAGAGTCTAAGGAAGAATCATTGATCAGACAGAAGATGTTTTATGCGGTATTCGGTCATGCAGTAGCCTATATCTATGAATAGTAACTTAATTTGTTGATATCATTTTAGTGGAGGTTTAATATAATATCAGTTAATGCCTTCATCAATCACTGATATGAAGTAAAGCCATTGTGCAGATCGATATTCTAATCGCTTATATGATAAGAAGACAATGCATGCCCCTTTAGCATGTTTAATTACTCGTTGAAAATCAATCTTCATTAGTCTCTCAAGAAAGCCAAACTTTAGCACCAAATGTAAAAACAACATTAATTTATCGATGTTAACTGAGTTTTGTGGCTAAAATGAAGCGCATGAAATATCCGCGGAGAAAATGTCTCACACTCTCTATTTCTATAATTAAAGTTAAGTTCCTCTGAAGTAACCTGGGTTTACACTGATAATTTGCTTTATTCTGAAGGGTCATTTCAGGAAACACAGCTCTGTTAACTATAATGTACAGCAGGCTGATATGGCATTTCTCCGGCGCATATTTCTACACTTTTAATAATACAACTCATTTTACATTGGTAAATTACTGGCATTTTAATTAATTTATTTATTTTATATTACTTATAACACTTAGAATCTAAAAGTACTTAAACTACTTATAACATCCTATTAGTTTAGCTGTATGTTCGTCTTTGCTCGCCCCGATTTATCCTCCATCAGCTTTTACCACAGTTATGACAGTGAACGAAACTGCACTCCACATCTAAATGATTTGTGTGTTTAATCATAATCCATCGGTGTAAACCTCAAAAGAGTGTGTATGTAAGAGTGTGTAAAGTACAAACGCTATTGTACTTTGTAATGAGAGATATTATTGTGAAACTGCAATAATTCTGTCACAACAAACACAAAGGTTGATTGGTGGAGGAGGATAGATAATGCAGAATGACCATATGCGTCGAGGGAGAACACTTCTAGTAAAATAGTCAAATAAACCAATAAAAAGGAGATACCTGAGAAAGATGCGGAATTAACACATTAGCAAAATAAGCACATGCAGGATTACGCCAGACTCAGTGTCCAGAGCTCTGGGGAAACAGAATACTGAGAGTCACCGCCAGAGGATCACTATTTACATGAACAAAACATGGAGAGATGTGCAACATCAGAGCATTTACAATACAAACCACCAAATCAATTAAACAAATCAGTTAAAGCACGTAAGATCTGGCACTACTGCCTCTGAAAGTCAGCAAAGTTGCCCAATATTAAATAACAAAGAGCGAAATTAAGCAACGCGATCCGCCCAAAAACATGAAATATTAACATGCACAAGACTAAAGCACACCGTGTTAGAAGAGCTGCATGTGGAAGAGCCAGCAGCAGCAGCAGCAGCACAGGCTCGCCATGAAGGCTTTTATAGACTCAGAAAGCTGCTATTATCAAGTGTGAAGGCAATCATTAACCTGCTGATACACAGGACTGATCCTCATCTTCAGCTCTCTGTGTTCATCATCAACTCCAGGAGAATCCGCCGAGCCTGAAAGCTGATGCTAAATTACTTCATCTTGTTGGTTTATAAGAGCTTATGCGACGAGGAAATCTGGAGGACGGTAAGTTTTGGGCAAATGTGAAATATTTGAAATCAGACATGTCAGTAAAGATCGGAAGCATCATACAACAGCTAATATATATATATATAGCCTATATATGCGCGCACACACGCGCACATGCACACGCACACACAGATTACAGACGCTTGATCTGAATTATGCAGAATGTTTCCCGCAGATTTCGATATTTTACACATGTAAATGTTTATTATTTTGGGTCAAATATGGACAAACTGACAAAAATGCAATTTACAAAAACGTCGGGTTCGTCCATTTGACCCAACACGGTGTCCAACAGCCCAGTTTTGCTTTGAGTGTGTGTTCTGTTAAATTAAGGATGATTTGTTACACAGTTTTGGGAGAAACCGCGGAAACGGAAAACGCATTACTCAGATTACACTGTGAAGAAAGCTGGGTTATATCAACCCGGTTATGTGTAAAATATCGCTGGGTTACTTTTTAAAAATGAGTTTATAGGACCAACATTTGTGTTTGTTCACATGTTTAGTCTTTATTTTTAGTTGCAATATATCAATGAATTATTATGAGTTTTAGTTATTTTTAATAAATAAAGACGTGTTTACTATTTGAATGTTATGATGCACTCATTAAATGCGGGGTTGTATTAACCCAATGTTGGGTCAAATGTGGCCAAACCCAACTGTTAAGTTAAAAGCGGAATTTAAATGTACTTACCATTAAAATGTGTTAAATTAGTCAAGTGTTAAAGTTTGGCCATATCTGACTCAGCATTGCTTCTATGTTGTTTAGAGTGCGCACACATATTATTTATTTCATTTATTATTGTGTTGTTTGGCTAAATAAGGCGCTTAATCAGCAGTGTGTTCTTCCGCCTATATATGCTGCAGATACTCTTCATTCACAGTAACAGCAGACACATCTACTCTACATGCAGGCCCAGCGCGCTCTCTACAAGATGTTCTTCTGTGGATTATACTTTTATGTTACACTAAAATTATTTCCTTTGCAGAAATGACTATTAATAATGAACAAAAATAACAGTCAGACATATACAAAATAAGAGTCTGCTCGTGCTGTTAGTGCTAATTAAATTAAGCCTGTTAAGTGTGTGTGTGTGTGTGTGTGTGTGTGTGTGTGTGTGTGTGTGTGTGTGTGTACAGGCCTAGAGAGTTTCATGATGTTAAAGGGACACAAAACACCCCTCACTAATCTCTCTTTTAAATTCATAATGTTAATTGGAAGCTCTGCAATATTATATGTGTGCATATACAGTAGATTAGTCAGTACAGAAGCCAAATCTGGAGCTTATCCAACACAAAAATAGGATAACACTCCAAACACTAGCACAGCCACATTTATATGTTGAATAAAATATTAAATACACATTTAAAAAAAAAAAAAAAAAGGAAAAATCAAGATTTGTTGAAATTTTGTGGGTTGTATTTTATTTTTGCAGTGTTTTGCTTAAATTTAATAGTATTATCTTTCACTTTCAAATTTGGTGAGTAAAATATTAACGAATATATCTGTTTAATAAATCTGTTCTGTTTAAATGCACCAAAACACACTGCCTATATATTCACTGAGAAATGGAGGAAAATATTCATCTTCAAAATGGGCTGTACTTAATTATGCTGGGCGCTGTATGTGTTGATCAGCCTGTAACCCCTGACCTCTATAGCAGGATAATAAAACACTACAGAAACCCAGGGCTGATTTTCTCCAGAATATCCTCCTTTGTGTTCAAGAGAAGAAGGAAACTCAGACGGGTGTGGAAGAAGAGGAGGATGGAGAAATGATGATTTACATTTTTGGGTGAAGTGTGCATTTAACCCAATGTGTGTAGTTAAACACCAGTATCGCGATGATCAGCAATATTTACACCATTCATCACTGGCATTGACTTATAATGGTAAATTACTGAAAGACTGACACTCATATAATCATAAAACAACTGAATTGATCAAACACGAAATAAACACATCCTGCATACAGGTGAATGCAAATATTATAAGGCCTGCTGTGAACATGGTATTACCTTTTAAAATATTCCCCAGGTAATGTTTACTGGAGAAACACATATCTTTAAGCTAATCAGGCAAGTCACTGGACAACAATAAGAACAAATAAGAAGGGGGTGAATAATATTGACCACAGCAGTTTTACACTTTATAAAATTCCAGCTGAACTAAAGGAGCGAAG